TCACTTAATTTTTCTGGCTATACTTTCAGAACTGCAAGTTCAGCCCTTTTATTATAAGCTAATGATTGATGATCAATTAACATTATTGTTAGGTGTCAAAAGTACTTCTATTGGTTTAATGCATGGCTATTACTTTAGCTGCTGAACAGATATTTACATGTCATGAGAATGTCTCCAGTTCTCAGATCACTAATTTTCGATTAATTTTGAACTGTATATCTTGCTCATGCTGTTCTAATGTTCTTTCTATATTACTCTGAAAGATCCTATTGCAGTTAGAGACCAGACAATAGCTGTTCCTGTTCTGTTAGAGTTAGAAAGTGACAGATAATGAACACAGTTACATCTTGTGATAGATTTAAAAAGGATTAATAGAAATCATTTTTTAAGCAGGAGTGTAGCACAAAGGTTATATTCAATTTTGCAATGAAAACATCTTTGTTTTCAAGCAGAAAACACTTTGCTTCTTCATTTTAAACCACTGCCTCTACAACATAATAGATATAGGAAGATAATTAAACATCTCTAAATGTGTTTAATTTACCTTAAAAAACTTGACAGAATTTAGAAAAAATCCTTTGACAAAATTGACCCACGTGAAAATTTGATTTGGGCTCATGTGAATGAATTAAATTTAGGTAATCACAAAGATTAGCTTCACTATGAGGAGGTTTCAATTAATTGTATCTACTCATAAGGCTGAATTCACTCTGGGGGGAGAGGGGTATCAAAATACCAAACAAATAGATTTATTTTGTGAATTTAAAAAATGCTAGGCTTAAAAAAGCTAGTGATCAATTGTTAAGTTTCTAAATATTCAAACATTTACAGTTCTAAAAAAATTATTTATTTTAAGACAGGCCCTCTAATGAAGTGGTTTGTGAAATGTTGAAAAATTTTGAGAGTGCTAATTTGGTATAGAAAGTGAGTTCTTTAAGTAGAAAGTAAAGACTCAAAGGACAAAAAGAACAATACTAAAGAATAAACACTTGCTAGATATTAACAAAGTCACCCAGGAACTATTCCTTTATTAGAGAGAAAATACTGGGGCTTGACTGGGCCTATGCAAGCCACATCTGTTTTGACTGAAATAAGACATTTTAAGAAATAAAGTTTAGCACAAAGAAAATCTAAGTGAAGTAGTTCTCCTAGGACTTTGCAGGTGTGAGAAGACTGACCCAGATACAAGAGTCAGCTAAGGTACTGTATAAAGACTTAATTAAAAGCAAAGTACCTAAAAAGGCATGTCTATAGAGACGGGGGAAAGACCAGAAATATAAAAAATTTCAAACCTTTATGAGTCAGCACTAGAGGACACCTACTGCCAAAGCTGCTGGCATCTGGAGCTGCAGTGAAAATAATACCCTGATAGAAGTTTCTAGCTCTGGGGATAAAAGGTGAGAAGTTCATAAAAGCCTATAACTAAACCAGATATCTATTAAAAATTTTGCAGTGGTAGACTCACATTTGGTTTATTATTTGTTATTCTTGCTTTAAATTATAACTCCTTTAAATAACTTATTGATAGTTAAATCAATCTATAAGTTAATACTGTTATATAATGGAGGGTTATACTTACTGAAAGTAAATTATCTTAGGAAGTAGCTAAACCAGCATGTGAAAAAGAACTAGGGTTTATAAATGTTTTCTTTTTAAAAATGTTAACCCTTCACATAATAGTAAGTAGCCAGAACTGCACATAAGAGGCACAAGGAGACTTAATGAGGTTATGAAATCTGAAGCACAGATTTAGTCTTGACTAAATGTCAAAATTTCATGCTGACTTAAGGGAAAATTTCTAAAAATCTTTGCTTGAATATTATCACAATTGGTCAAGCCTCAGATATGTTAGAAGTTTGAAGAATTGCAAAGATTTTAATAAATGGTTTCATTAAACACCAATGTCTAGGGAATATTTCCTGCTGAATAAGAAAATTCACCTTATTAGGGAAGGTACATGGGTAACTGGTGAGGGAGAAAGAGGGCACTTGCAGCTGTGAAGGCAATTTTCTATACTTGTCTAAATATCTGTTCCATTGAAGCTTTACTTAAAACTTTTAGTTTGAAATAAGTTTTTTTTGTTTTTAACTACACCATCACTTGTGTGACTTTGGGTTAAACAATAAATCTCCAAGCATTTTGGTGCCTGTTTGGCAAAATTGGGATGACAATTATATTCTCCAAACAGATTACTTAAATTTTCTTTCTGCTTAAAGCATGCAAATCTATACCCATCTGCTTCATGCTGTAACATGGCATAATACTATTCAAAACTAGGCTTTCTACAAATTTCTGTTCTTGTAAGTCCATATTCTTCCTTTATAATTTTTCTCCCACTATCAACCTCTAATAAGTTATCTATCCAATCTTACAAGTTTCACTTTGACTTTAGGCCTTATTGTTTTTAATATTTATTTTGGATTCAACAAGAAGCCACCAATATCATTTGTGTGTGTGTGTGTGTGTGTGTGAATTCCTCCAGAATTTTTTTTTTTATTTTTAAAACACAAATGGAAGCAAATGGTACACAGTTTTATACATTGATTTTTAAAAATTTAGAACATCTTAGAGATTTTTCTAATTAGTACATACGAGACTTCCCCATTCTTATTGTATATACATGCTGTAATTCTGTTACTATTGATGTGCTATAAGTTTACTCAAGTTCTTATTAAGGTTTTATGCTATCATGAATAACTTTGTATATCTATCACTTCACTCATTTGAAAATACATGAGAGGGTAAATTCTTCAAAGTGGAATGGCTAAGGAAAACAGCATGTGCATTTGTAATGTTGGTAGATACTGATAAGCTGCCTGTCAGAGAGATTGTACTGATTTACATTACCACTAGTAATGTGTGAGAGTTAGGCTTTGTTACTTTTTGCTTGAACCACTCTAATAACTTCCTAAATGAAATTCTCACTTTTGTTTCTCCCAGCACTAATATATCTCAAATGCTAATGCCAGAGAAATCCTCCTAAAACAAAACTCCTTTGCTTAGAAAATATCAATAACTCCTATTTTCCATAATATTAAACTTCTTAACCTGGTACTCAAAATCCTTGATAAAACATGCCTATATTCATTCTTGAGTTTTTTTTTTTTTTTTTTTTTTTTTTTTTTTTTATTTGTTTTTTTTTTTTTTTAAGACGGAGTTTCACCATGTTAGTCAGGGTGGTCTTGAACTCCCAACCTCAGGTGATCCGCCCACCTTGGCCTCCAAAGTGCTTGGATTACAGGCGTGAGCCACTATGCCCGGCCTCATTCTTGAGTTTTATCTTCTACCACATACACCCTGTATTACAGACAAATTGAATCATTCCTTATTCTGTGCTGTGCTTTAGGCCTGAAACAGTTTCCTGTGTACAGAATGCTTCTCTACATATGTCTTTCAGTCAATCCCATCAACTTTCAAGGACCATCTCAAATATTACCTACCTAAAGGTCCAAATAGATCAGCCTTTAAGCTTATGTTCTTTGTTTTGCTAATTAATAGTATATATGCAGAATAAATAAATACTTTGATCATGATAATTGGTCTTTGTTTTAGGTGAAATTCAAATCTTGGTTATGTAGTCGCCCAGTTCACAGATGACAGGAAGGAAAGTATGAGAAGGGGATGGATGTGGGTGAGTGTTGGGTGGTGTGGGTGTTATGGAGGGTGGTGGCAAGAGACACATATTTATCGAAAGCCCAATAGGTGGCAGGTACTGCATATTTTTACTGTTATCACCTGTAAGAAGAAACCTTACGGAGGTGGATATTATCATCTCCACTTTACAGTCAGATAAGTGATATATCTAGTCAACAGGTGACAGGATTTAAGCTCAAGTCTATCTGGATGCAAAGCCTAGACTCTCACATTGTACTATATTGACTTATCTGGCAGAGAATAGCAGCAAGAAATGACTGTTGTCTTGAACTGTATCTCTAAAGTTGAAGAAATAAAAACCTATGAAAAGCTGAGCAAGAACATTAGCATCACTAACTGGAATGATCTAATATAGAGACAACTGTCATATACTCTGTGAGTGTCAATGTATTAGAGCACAATGAGATAAGCAAATTATGGGTGGAATATCCTGATTTAGAGGGCAGGGAAATGTTTACTGTGCATAGGAAGAATTCCATTCTATTTATTAAATGACATGTAAATAAACTTGATGTATCTAGCATATGAACTCAATTGCAATGTCTGTCATTCTGTAAATAGATGATACATTTGTATGTGTATTGTGTACATTCTTGTGTATTTTTCTGTTGTTCAAGTATCTATTTGTATAACTGAAGCCTATCTGCATAAATTGAAATACAGTGGAAGATAAGGCCTGCTCGGCTTTAGAGAAATGTTAAGCACATAGAAAATAGAAGCAATAACATTATCATTGAATTTAACAACATTAAATTAATTGAACATTAAAAAATTCCAGAATTAACAATTATTTAGAGTTAACAAAATGAAATTAAAAGCAACTTTAATATAATAAGCCAATTAGTTATACAGAGAGTGAGTGAAGTCTAAAAAACATGGGTTTGTTGACTCTAATTTCACATCGAACATGATAAACAACTGTATTCATGTTAGAATTAGCTCTGTTAACTTTCTCTGCATTCTAAACTAATCAAATCCATTGTTTTATAACTCAAAATTTTATTTAGTAACTACTTCACTGAAGTGCCAATATCTTAGAGGATATATATATTTATATTGATATTCACATAGACACACATGTATATACACATAGGCACATGTAATATTGTTAAATCAAGCTTATCCTAAAGTTGCTTCCTTACATACTTTAAGTTTGGCCTATAGTGAACAGTAACTTCAATGCAGGTTTAAATAGACAGTAATCTACCCTTGTGCTCATCAAAAAGTTTTGGCCAATCAATGGCAAATCAAACCATGTTCAAATAAGGCAATGAGCTGTAACCAATCTGGGTTTGTTTACCTCACTTCCATTTTCTGTATGTCACTTTCATTTTTGTGACCATAAATCTTCCACCATGCGGCTGCACTGTAGTCTCTCTGAGCTTACTGGCTAAGGCTGCTGCCAGATGCCAGATTTGCAAATCATTCTTTGCTCAGTTAAATTCTGTTAAATTTAATTTGTCTAAGGGTTTTTTTTTTTTTTTTTTTTTTTTTTTTTAACAGATGGTGTCAGAAGAGGAATCTAAAGTAGAGCTTCCAGTGACCCCCAGGAGCATCGAGTGACCAAGCGAGGTAACTGTAGGACACATTGTGTCCACTGCTCTTTCACAGCAACTGGGGATCATGGTAAGTCCTCTCTTAGAATTTGAAGCGTGACAGATTTGTGTTTTGAGCTCTCTGAGTTTGTTTGAGCAAATTTCTGATCGAAACTAGGTTTGAAAGTCACAAAAAAACTGAGTTGGGTCCAGAATCTGACTGAATCTGATAATTAACTGGCTTGGATCTAGTTAGAGGCCTCTTATGTCTGAATGGGTCAGACAGAAACCGGTAGAAAATGGCAATATTTCAGGAGATGCCAACTTTGGCTTTGGAAATTTATAGGGACTTTTGTGTTCTACTACCTTTGTTTTTCTTGTGTGCTGATGTAGGAAAAAATTATTGGCTAAGTTGATTAAGAGGATATGAGACTTAAAGCTAAGATTCAAGGTAAAAATTGGATCCTTATTTTCTTAAGAACTGAGCAATCTACCTTCTGGCTATGCCCACATTTACATGTATAAGTATTAGGTCCTGGAAACAGCAAACACTTTTAGAAATAGCAAAATCTTACTAAAGGTAATTTAAAATTACAATGGAACATTCCAAAGAAACAACACTGCACTTGAAGATGTGCAGTTTAAAATGAAGGGCTCAAGACTTTATGCACATAAATTAGAAAATCTAGGGGAAGTGGATAAATTCCTGGAAGCATACAATCTTCCAAGATTGAATCAGGAAGAGATTGAAACCCTGAGTAGACCACTATCAACTTCTGAAATTGAATCAGTAATTAAGAACACACTAACAAAAAAAAGGCCTTGTAAATTTGTTTTAGTTTTTATAGATTCTGGATATTAACCCTTTGACAGATGGGTAGATTGCAAAATTTTTTTCCCATTCTGTTGGTTGTTAGCTCACTCTAATAATAGTTCTTTTGTTGTACAGAAGCTCTTTAGTTTAATTAGATCCCATTTGTCTATTTTGGCTTTTATGCCATTGCTTTTGGTGTTTTAGTCATGAAGTCCTTGCCCATGCCTATGTCCTGAATGGTATTGCCTAGATTTTCTTCTAGGGTTTTTATGATGTTAGGTCTTATGTTTAAATTTTTTAATCCATCTGGAATTAATTCTTGTATAAGGTATAATGAAGGGATCCAGTTTCATCTTTCTGCATATGTCTAGCCAGTTTTCCCAAACACCATTTATTAAATAGGAAATCCTTTCCTCATTGCTTGTTTTTGTCAGGTTTGTCAAAGATCAGATGGTTGTAGATGTGCAGCGTTATTTCTGAGGCCTCTGTTCTGTTCCATTGGTCTATACCTCTGTTTTGGTACCAGTACCATACTGTTTTTACTGTAACCTTATAGTATAGTTTGAAGTCAGGTAGTATGATGCCTCCAGCTTTTTTTTTGCTTAGGATTGCCTTGGCTATGCAGGCTCTTTTATGGTTCCATATGAAATTTAAGGTGGTTTTTTCCAATTCTGTGCAGAAAGTCAATGATAGCTTGATGGGATAGCACTGAATGTATAAATTACTTTGGGCAGTATGGCCATTTTCACAATATGATTCTTCCTAACTATGAACATGGAATGTTTTTCCATCAAAAAGTGCGTGAAGGATATGAACAGATACTTCTCAAAAGACATTAATGCAGCCAACAAACATGAATAAAAGCTCATCATCACTGGTCACTAGAGAAATGCAAATCAAAACCACATTGTGATACCATCTCATGCCAGTTAGATTGGCAATCATTAAAAAATGAGGAGACAACAGATGCTGGAGAGGATGTGGAGAAATAAGAACACTTTTACAGTGTTGGTGGGAGTATAAATTAGTTAAGCCATTGTGGAAGACAGTGTGGTGATTCCTCACGGATCTAGAACTAGAAATACCATTTGACGCAGATCCCATTACTGGGTATATACCCAAAGGATTATAAATCATTCTATCATAAAGACACATGAACATGTGTGTTTATTGTGGCACTGCTCACAATAGCAAAGATTTGGAACCAACCCAAATGCCCATCAATGATAGACTGGATAAAGAAAATCTGGCACATATATACCATGGAATACTATGCAGCTGTATAAAAGGATGAGTTCATGTCTTTTGCGGGGACATGGATGAACCTGGAAACCATCATTCTCAGCAAACTGACACAAGAACAGAAAACCAAACACACCGCATGTTCTCACTTATAAGTTGGATGTTGAACAATGAGAACACATGGACACAGGGAGGGGAACATCACACACCAGGGCCTGTTGGGGGGTGGGGTCTAGGGGAGGGATAGCAGGGGTTGGGGGGACTAGGGAAGGGATATTGGGAGTGGGGTGATAAGGGAGGGATAGCATTAGGAGAAATACCTTATGTAGATGACGGGGTGATGGATGCAGCAAACCACCAATGGCACATGTATACCTATTTAACAAACCTGCACCTTCTGCACATGTACCCCAGAATTTAAAGTATTTAAAAAAAAAAAAGCCCTGCCTCAGATGGATTCACAGCTGAATTCTACCAGATATACAAAGAACTGATACCAATCCTACTGAAATTATTCAACAAATCAAAGATGAGGGGCTTCTTTTTAACTCACTGTATGGAGCTAGCATCAACCTGATACCCAGTTCTGGTAGAGACTCAATTAAAAATGAAAACTTTAGACCAATATCTCTCATGAATATAGATATGAAAATCCTCAACAAATACTAGCAAATCACATCCAGCAGCATATTGAAAAGCTAATACAACATGATCAAGTAAGCTTTATTCCTGGAATGCAAGGCTGGTTCAGCATATACAAATCAATAAATGTGATTCACCTCATAAGCAGAATCAAAAGCAAAAATGAAATGATCTTCTCAATAGATGCAGAAAAAGCTTTTGATAAAATTAAACATCCCTTCATGTTAAAAACCCTCAATAGACTAGGCATTGAAGGAACATACTTCAAAATAGTAAGAGCCATTTATGGCAATCCCACAGCCAACATCATACTAAGCGGGCAAAAGCTTGAACTCTTCCCTTTGAGAACTGGAACAAAACCGAGATGCGCAATCTCACCACTCCTGTTTGACACAGTACTGGAAGTTTTAGCCAGAACAATCAGGCAAGAGAAAGAAATAAAAGGAATCCAAATAGGAAAAGAAGTGAAACCATCCCTCTTTGCTGATGACATAATTCTATACCTAGAAAATCCTAAAGACTTTGCCAAAAGTCTCCTAGAATTGACAAACACCCTTAGTAAAGTTTCAGGATACAAAATCATTGTATAAAAATCAGTAGCATTTCTATCTGCCAACAAATTCCAGGCTGAGAGTGAAATCAAGAACACAATCCCACTTACAATAGCCACAAAGAAAATGAAATACCTAGGAAGCCAAGGAGAATGTGAGAAAATATTTGCAAACTCCCCATCTGACAAGAGATTAGTAAGAAGAATGTATAAGTAGCTCAAACAGGACTGTAGGAGAAAATACAATAATTTGATTAAAAAATGGACAAAAGATTTGAAAGGACATTTCTCAAAGGAAGGCATAGAAACAGCAAATAGGGATATGAAAAAGTGCTCAACATCATTGATCATCAGAGAAGTGCAAATCAAAACTACAATGAGATATCATCTGACCCTAGTTAAAATGGCTTATATACAAAAGACAGGCAATAACAAATGCTGGTGAGGATTTGGAGAAAAGAGAACCCTCATACGTTGTTGGTAGGAATGCAAATTAGTACAACCACTGTGGAGAACAGTTTGGAAATTCCTCAAAACACTTAAAATAGAGCTTACCATATGATTCAGCAATCCTACTGCTGAGTATATGACCCAAAGAAAGAAAATCAGTATAACAAACAGGTATCTGTGAGGGACTGTGTTAAGGAAAACTGAGTCCCCAAGGGGTGTGGTTTCAAAGGCAAGAGCTTCCCAGAGCCATGCCTCCATCCACGTCCCTATCTGGGAATGTAAAGTTCTTTGTCTGACTTTCCCGTGCGGGATAGGCAGAAATTCCAGGTATGCTTCTTTGTTCAAAAAAGTCTGTGAAAAGCTCTGGGAGGAAGGGCCTCTGTTGCAGACCAGCAGCCAATCTGATATTAAAGTCGACGATCAATCACTCCAGCAGAAGTCTGAAATAACTCCTCTCAGTGCACGAGAACATGAATGGGGCAGGAATACCTCCAAAGTTAAAAACCCACTGCTCCTACTTGTGCCGATTCCTCCCTTGGATCCCCTCCCATGGCGGTGTGGGAGCTCTCTCACTTTCTCTCTCTCTCTACCTAAAAAATCACTCTCTGCTAAACTCTTCGGGTTCATGATATTTATTCGAATGGAAAGCTCACTGTGCCTCCAGAGCCCCTTTCCGCATTCCTGGGGCAAGAGAGGCCAAGGACCTGGGCACATTGGGGAAAACATTGTATCAGGGGAACTGAAAGTGTCTTTGGGATACCTCTGCTCCCTCCCCCAGTTACATCTTTGGTGAGCCAGCCAGGAGCAAATGTTGGAGCAGTGAGTGTAGTGGACTCATTTCACTTGCTAAAATCTGTCCCATTCGCTTCTTTTAAATCTGCTAAAGAGAGAAAGCGGACAGACAGGCCTGTGTGAGACTGGGCGCGGTGCAGCAGCTGGGCCGGGGGCGGCTGCGAGACCCCACCCAGCCTTTCAATATTGTGGCTGCTGGGACTTAAAGACACAGGCACCAGGCTTTCTCTGAACCAGTCTCCTTTTCTGGCTGCTCTCTGTTTTTTTGGGGCCAAGTCTTGGGTTGAGTGGTGGGTACAGATCGATGGGGAGGGTGCGGGGAACTGCCAGGCCAGTCCTGCAGGCTCCACATGCCGCAGCTGCCCCTGGGTGCCCCTGCCGCTGTCCTTGTCTCGGAGCAGTGAGGAGTAGGCAAGCTAATCTGAGTCAGCTGGCCTGGAGGTGGTGGCCCAGGGAGGGACCCAATGTGCACACATGGCCCTGGCTGCCGGCGTGGCAGACAGTGGCACTGCAGGGGGCAGGGTGTTGGTGGCCCCAGCCCCCGGACTGGGCTGTGGCAGTCAGGGACTCATGCCTGTAGTGCCCTCAGGCTTTTGCCTAT